ATATGCAACGATGTCATTTTCTCGTCGAGCAAAGCATGGCGGTACATTAACTCCTTGAGCTTTATTTCTCCGTTGAAATACTCCACAAAGTATGTTTTCTTTGTAAAGATTTAAGGGTGACGTACTGACATATCCGATGCTAGGGAAATTCAATAGTTCTCTAAAATGACAAACAAAAGTAAAATCGCTTTCGTATTAAGTATTACGCCTTCCCAAACAAAAATAACACATTCTATGACGTCATTGTATGACGTCATCGCGTGACGTCATTAATACGAAAAAATGCTATAGTTTCATCAAGCAAAGTATATTAAACGATTTAAAATGAATGAAATTAATCTTTAGATTTAAGTCCGTAAAGCCAAGCATGCGTTTTAGAATGATTGCCAAATAAACTTTTTACGATTTTTTAAATGCCACAAATAAGCGAAAAATGCCAATAACTTTCGTATTTTTTAATTTTTTGCCAAACCCATGCTTGGTTCTGAAGAGGAGGCTGTGAAGAACATAAATATTGAAAAAACACGTCCATTTGATGTTTCGCACCGAAGATTATATTTTTTAAATGATACCATACATTTTATGTAAACAAAAACCTTTACACCGGAAGTAAAAATTTTCCCAACATGAAAACGCGCGCGCGCCCGCTTCTCCGATTGGCTAGTATTGGCTAGCATAGCAACCAGGTCGTCTAGAAACGGATACGTCAGTACACCCTTAAGTACATTTATGCACAACTTTCAAAAATGGCTGTAGTTCACGACCGCCAATATCGGGGGGAGGGATATCATGGAAATGAGACCTCAAAGGCCTTCCATCTAGAAATCACTACGAAGATCGCAGTGTCCAAACGTTTGGAAGATATATTGGTATGTTGTTTACAACAAAACATTCTTGTAAAACACCATTGAGGTTTACTATACGGAGATTGACCGTTGAGACCTCGTTTATGTGCTTCATCGCCAGCGCACTGGTCGGCGACCGTGGCATACATGTATCGCGCCATTTTTGAAAGACGTGAATTTTTCCCGTTTAAGCAAAGTGAGACAAACGTTTTTTTTTTACATGTGCTACAACTTCTACAAGGCCTTGATATATAAAGATGGAATTTCATTTTAATAAAGGAGGTAGTGCTTTGTGGAGCATAATCTTACGGCAATATATCTGAAAATCATTATTATTGCATTG